CACTGTTTATTTTTAAAAACTGACTCAGTGGTTCTTTCATGATATACTTAGAATAAATGGGGTCTGGCTGACAAATACCACAAAAAATATTTGAAGGAATAGCATCTACGTAGGTGTGTCAAACAATAATGTTTCATCATTTTCAACATGACAAATTTTCATGTGACAACATGATGTATTCCTGTAATGCGTAGCAGTATTCATATAAATTAATGCTGTGCCATATCCTGGTTCTGAATATGCTGTCCTTTTACTCATACAGAGAAGTATGACCAACTCACTGTGCATTATTTTTGTGTTAAGCAATTGGTCCACATGTTGACTATTTTTAGCACCCAGTGGTCCACCACTATACGCTATCATATGATTATCTGCAATGAATAAGGTTTGTGTGTAATCACACTTACATTTCAACAAAAATAGTTGTTTCACCAGTGTGTGTGTGGTCATTGCCGGGAAACAGTTTCCCCCAAAAACAAAAAAAAATGCTTAGAGTGGCTATACCTTAAATGATTAATCTGAATTAAGATGTGTTGTTCTACTCATTTTAAACTTAGCCAGTGGAAAAAAAGCTTTAAGTTCTTTAACAAAGGATTCAACATTTTAAATAAAATACAATCACTCTGGTCTCCTATTGAAAAATCCAGTTCAAGTATTTGGGTCAGGAAATTCCTCAGTCCAAACTGAAACTCTCTTGATCCAATGTTAGGATTTCACATAAAATATTTGGTATATTGTGTGATTGTATCGTCCTGTACCATCTAAGGTGCCTTGGATTATTGGTATTCTGGTTGGTATTTCTGATTAGTATTAGTCTAAGTTACAAGACCAAATGGGCAAGATACCCACATGAATCCTTTGGTAGGAGAAAGACTTGGTCTTGTTGAACAGAATAGGTCTATTACATAGTACTTAATAGCTAGTTACTTTACAGTAAAGTTACATAAAAGTCTCTTGTGAGCTATCAGGTTAGACTGAAGAGCAAGCACACTTTACCATTTAGCTACATGGAACTTAGAACGCTTAGAAACTGGCTCTGAAAACACTTGACCAGTTCCTCCCATGTCCTGATGGCTGAAGCTTATCTCATCAAGTCAGATAATCCCTTTCAGGTATTAGAATAAAGTTAAATACTGTGAATGTTGGAAATCTGAAACAAACACAGAATGCTGGAGAAACTCAGCAAGTCTAGCAGCATCTGGGGAGAAAGCGACACCATTAACATTTCAAGTCCAGTATGACTGTTTATAGAGTGCAATTTCTAAAAATACGTTTCTAAAAATTCTGGGTTAAATCTTTGATGCCTCAGAGAAGATCATCTTTTAATGGCTAAGTTTTACCCCTCATTCATCAGTCCATTGACAAAGATTTTGCTCTCCTTTGCCCAGCCTCCACTGTTTGCATATCTTGCTAAGCATAATTGGATGAAAGAAAACAAAAACATATCTGACTAAAGCACCGCAGTGGCATCATCATCAAGTTTGACTTAGCCCACGGGTTTATTTGCTCTGCTGCATGCTGCTTAACAGTGACTGAAAATGTGAAGTGTCATTTTTAATGCTCTTAGCTCACATTCAACCTTAACTATCCTGACACAATGCTACCCAATCTTTTATTTTAATAGGCAACACTTTACCGTCACCTGTCCTAAATTTCATCAGCCAGTTTTACAAAAAAATCCTTGACTGCCCAGCTCACCTAGTTTGAGATAATATACAAGTTTCATGAGCATGCATTTAGTTTCCAAAGCCAGATTCTCAATTTACTAACTTACATTAAATGGAGCAAACACTAATCCCTGAAAAATTACATTCACCCATATCCCATGCCAGGTAAACAAGTAGTTTCTATTCCTCAGCCAATTGTATTGTCCCAGGTTTTAAGTTGATTTATGAACAAATTATCTTTTGTTCAGTAGCCTACCATGATTGGTGTATAAATATATTGCTTGCTGCATCAACATATCAGAAATTTGGAAACAATGCCCACAGTGTTTTCTGATATATGCCGGCATCAGGCAATGTTCCTCATCACTTTGGTGGGCTCACAGAATAACTTTTGATACGTCTTTTTCCCACAGTTTATTCTTACAGACTCTGAATTCAAACAAAATTAACGTCAGTTGTTATTAGATCTGTGTGTGGTTTCGGGCTATGGACTTTACTGTAGTGGGAATTGACTCAAGATTGCCCAAATTCATTTAATTTAATTTAGAACCATTATCAACCATCAGGGAGATGAGACCTTAATCTCTGCTGTCTGGACAGGAATCAGACTCAAATCCCACAGGATGGAACACCAGGCCACCCAGTCTACCCTCAATAATAGCACCGAGCATTATTGTTGTTTATTCTTGGTGCAACCCCTGTTCAGAGATAACCTGGTATTTTAATCACATTGCAGTTGTGATAGTTAGTTCTTGATGTTAACATTGCGACAGAAGTGGTATTATCAGATTGTAAAGAAAAAAAAACAATTGGGTAGATTTTCTTTTTCAGCCCCTGGGTGGCAATCTAGCAGGGTAGACCACAGCATCATGGATAGATATCTCACCCATTTCTAGGACCCAGTAGGTGATTTTCATTACATTTCCATTGAAATCAAGGGCAAGACAATCCTTCCTGTTTGATCAGTACCCCGGCAGTGAAGGTGAAAATCTTCCCCAGTATTACTGAAAGCCAAAGCCATTTTACCAACACAGAACAAAGCAAGTGTTGATTCTTCTTAAAAATCAAGCTGTTCAGAAATGTTATTACATACCACTGGAGCAGGTGGGAGTTGAACCTGGGCCTCCTGGTTTAGAGGTAGGAACTTTGCAACTGTACCACAACAGCAATCCCCAACAGATTTAATGCATGATTTGTCATTTTGGAAGGTACAATGTGGTAAATGCCCTCTTCTATTCATTTCCAGCTGTATTCAGCTGCTTGTGGGATCCCACATAATGCCATTTAACAGGCCAGCAATCCAAATAACAGGCAAGGTGCTTTTTGTCTTATGTTTATGCTTGTGAAGTGTGGCAATGCACTGTGGTGTGTTCTTGGAGAGATTTTAGTGTCTTGTTGGATGTTGAAGGTGATGTTGCTGACAGGGAGGTCAGAGTAGTTTCCTGCCTTCTCAAGAGAGCCTCTTTTATTCGCCATATGAAGGAGAGCCATCCAGGTCTCAGTGGTTCTCCATAGTGATCTCCTGTTTCAACCACAACTTTCCTGTCTGGTGGGTGCATCTGTTGTCTGTCATTCAGAAGCCACCTCAGGAGGGAGGAGGAGATGGCCTCAGGAACCCTTTGTTTCAAACAACCTGTTAGTGATCAGAATCCAGGTTCCCTGAGATGTCATTCCATCACCACCATTTTCCACCTTTTAAATCCATCTATATCCTGTAATTGACGTCAAGTAAAATACTGAAATTTAAAAAAAACAGAACAGCTTTATCCAATGACACATCTGAATTTTACAAAACCGAACAGTCCCTCATTCTGCTGGTCTTGTCGGGATCTTTACTTGTCCTGGTGGTCTTTCACAGTTCTATCTGAATCATTCCTGTGTGGCTGTTAAAGGGCCATTGATTTGCTCTGATGGAGACCATAGCTGAGCTTGCAGGATGCTCCCCTGTGGCTCCAGGCCTTCAAAACCTGGCTATGGATTGCAGCCTTGGTGTGGGCTGGAGCAGTCTGGGCTACAGCGAGGGAAAGTACAAGTTTTCTTCTCAGTTAGACAGAGTTAGAGAGGCTAGCAGTTTTATTTTTACTTGCAGTTGGCTATCCAAATGCTGTTACTTTCACAGCACACTAGACTGCATTAACATATCAGGCCATTAACACAAAGAGACCAGAGTTTGCAATTGAGTTTTAATCTTTTTGATTGTGCATTCCTGGAGGGATAAAGACACATAAAATGTCTATAGTTAAGGATGTAATCCATGGGAATTGGCTTTCTGTTGAGAGGAATGGTCAACCCCTCATTATCCCTGTAGTCACAAAGATCACTTTCCAGTTTGTTTTGAAATACATCTTCCCTTTGAAGGGTTATTGTTTGAAGTTCCCTTGGCATCTTCAGGTGTGACATTCCATGCTTCCTCTCGGGGCTATTCCAGGCAGCTGCTGAATTTATAAACAACTGCAGTCAACTTTCGGCTACACGTCCTCTTTTAATAAGCACGCCGTAATGAAAATAGTCACAGGTTATTAACCTTTATCATAACACGTTCTTAAAGTGTTCAGCATGTTCGTGCTTCTAGGAGCCTTTGCCAATCCCTCCATAATCCTAGTAATTTTTTAGAGGGCATATGTTGGACTAGTGTGAGAGTCTGGGAACAGCTATGAGCACAGAGTTCACAGTCACGATACCAGCACTCTGGACCTGAATGATACTTAGATCTTGTAATCTCAGTCTGAACTTCCACTGTAGCACTGAAATTTTGTGTAATTGCTTATTGTGTTGCAAAGAATCTTGAAATAAGTCATTCACTAGACTCTAGCTGGATCCAGGTATATTGTAATTAATAACTCTCTGCTACATTGAAGCTGGTCTCCTCCACAGTCCTTGACATTGAGGGGATTCTATCTGGCAGACCGCCAAAATATCGAGTATTATGTTCATCAGCAATATTGAGCATGTTGCCCCCTCAAAGTCCTTATGTGAATCCCCTGCAGCAAATGTTATCTGAATGCTCACCATCCAAGGAGCTGCATATGAACTCTCCTATCCCCATGGTCTGGCTGCAGCTCAGTCATTCTCAGTGATTTATCATGGGCAGACCCTGCTCAATATTACCCAAGTACACAGTCAGCATCTGAACTGGTGTCCATGTGCGCTTCTTCTGCTTCTTCTTCAGTAGATCCATGATAGCTCTTGTCCTTCCTGATGAGCTGTATTGGGTGGGCAAGGGCACTTTTAGGTATTTGAAAACAAAGGTAGAAAGGGAATTTTGAGAACAGAGAAGGAAATGAGCCCAAGTTCACATCATCTTAGCTTTTACTTCGTATTAGACAGCAGGATTTAGGGGAGGAGGAATTTGCAAAGCAGCATAAGATAAGAACATAGTCCTGCTGAAGGTTTTTGGTGATAGTGAATGCAATATCTTCTGTCATGGCAATCCCTCCGACATAGAACATCATCTCTTCCAAAAGACCCGGGGATGTGGGTGTACCTGTCTCCCCACCCTGTTCTGCTCTGCTCCCTTCTGCCGTGGATCACCTTCTCCTGCAAGAGAGGGAGACAGAAAAATAATACCAGTGAGAATGTTCTGTAATGTGTTTGGGTAATGTGTCTATCGAACCTAAATAGCTGGCTATATATCTAGGCAGTAAGAGCAGTAAGTTGGTACATGTGGAGGGGTGAGGTGGCACCTCTGAATGTTAGATACAAGTCCTGATTACTGCAGAATGTGTAACACATTGAGCACTGGGAGAGGTTGCTGACATAGTAGGTGATATCCTGTCAAAATGCATCTACTGATCTTGTGAGATCATTGAATTTCTTGCAGTACCCCAGGTTCTCAGGGTAAGACACTAGAAATGGATTTTCCTGGCCACCTGAGCTCAATCACTTCTAGAGAGCATCCTGACCTCTTGTCCATACACTCCTCCTCTCCTCCTTTGCACCTTTTGCACAAACATCTCCAGTGTCACATCCAAAAACCAGACAGCTTTCTCTCTGCCCTCTGCCCTACTTGCTGTGTTTCTTCTTTAACTAATTTCTCCACAGAGGCAGTGACAGCCTCTCTATAAATGAATGTAACATCCATTTGAAGATGACAGCCTATCTTTAACCGATGGAGTGTCATGATGATGGATCAGAACTCCAAATTGGTTATGGACTTATTGAAATTTTAATTTCAATGTGCTTTTTTTTTAAATAAAGGGGATTGCTTCAGCCTCAAAATGACTCCGGATTCAAAATCTGACTGTCTGACAAATTGCTTTGTGGATCCATGCAGTGTCACAGTACCACAGTGACAGGATGATTTCAGACAGAAAGAGGAACAGATGATGAGAGGTATCCCTACAGCCTGGAAACAGGCCCTTTGGCCCAACAAGTCCACATCGACCCTCAGAGCATCCCACCCAGACCCACCCCCTATAACCCACCCACACATCCCTGAACACTACAGGCAACTTAGCATGGCCAATCCACCTAGCCTGCACATCTTTGGACTGTGGGAGGAAGCCGGAGCACCCGGAGGAAACCCATGCAGACAGGGGGAGAATGTGCAAACTCCACACAGACAGTCACCCGAGGCTGGAATCAAACCCGTGCCCCTGGTGCTGTGAGGCAGCAGTGCTAATCACTGAGCCACCATGCCGCCTGAATGATGGCTAAACACTTCCCATCACCCCTTTCAGGAAAAGGCCACCTCCTGCAGACATGTTTGTGGGTGTTTTATGATTCCAAGGATATACAAAAAAGTGACTATATACCCACTGGTCTGTGTGAATTAGTGGCCTGACATCCTAATACATGGTCAGGTGTTCTGAAGGTCACAGTTTGAGAAGACCCATTGATAAAGCCTCCATCGCTGGTAAAGAAAAGGAACCAGAACGAAAGAATTTCTGTCAAATCAGCCAAGGATTTGAAATTGATTGCTCAACTGCCAACATCATGCTACCAGTACCATCCAATGTAATGGCTGCAATATTCTACTCTGCATATTTCACGTATAGCTTAGATATTGATCTGTAAATCACTTTTTAAAAACTGATTTTTTGGATGCACTTCTTATTCTCAGTCTGGGTTTTTAAAATGTGTTGCGCTATGATTTCTTTCTCACATTCAATAACTAACAAACTCACTTTTTTGTTACCTCGTACAGGCCTGGCTAAAATTGCTCCTTTTAAAATAGAAGTTCATTGTGCATGAGAGAAAAATATCCACAATTAAAGGAATCCTTTTTGGAATAACCTTCTTACAACCAATTGAAGAGGCAGGAGGATAAAGAAGGGGAGTCAGATCACAGAACAAAAACAAAGTTGCTGGCAAAGCTCAGCGGGTCTGGCAACATCTATGAAGGAAAAAGCAGAGTTAACATTTTGGGTCCAGTGACCCTTCCTCAGAACTGATGGTGGCTGGGAAAGCGTCAGTTTATAGGGAGTCAGATCATCCCTTCTTACCCTGGAACCTGGCAGTTTGGGCTGTCCCATTTGGAACCATAACAACTTGAGGAATCTTGTCCAGGGTCTGGTCATCCAGAAGGCTTCCTGAAACATATACTAGCCAGGCATGATGCTTGGCCCCTGCTCTGTCAAACTTGTAAACAACCAACATTTGCGATGGACTGCACACACCAAATCGTTCAAATAAAGCAGCGGCATAAACTTGCATGCTCCCTGTCTCAGTAAGATAATTTACTTTCTCTTTATTTGTTGTCCGTTCCCAATTTTTCTTAACCTGAGTGCCTTGCCTGGCCATTTAAGGGGGTAGTTAATTGTGAGCCACATTGCTATGGACCTGCAGTCACATATAGTTGAGAAAAAAGCAAAATGGCGGAGTTCTTTCAGTAAAAATAGAAGATGGAGGTTTACAGCCTTCACAGTCATGATCACTGAGACAAGCTATCTGTTCCAGATGCTGTGATGAAATTTGAACCACCCTTCACTCCAGTTAGTGTGTTCCTCTGCAGCCACATTGGAGAGATATGATGGGCTAATCAAGTGTTTCAATCTCCACACCAGCAAATACAGGCCATCAAAATGTTTCCCCCTGTGAGAAAGTTGATAAACATATCACAAAGGACAGTAGATCTTATTAATCCTACAATCACATGTGCTGTCTGACCTGTTGACTGTTTCCACCGTTGTTTGGAGGTGATTTCTTTTTGTTTCAGACATCCAGCATTGGCACTTGTTGATTTCTTGTTGAGTTAAAACATTGCGGTGTTTATGCTCTGGTCGAGACTCCTCCCATTCTATATACTTCATGTCATATCCCTAGGATTATCCTAGTTACCCCATAAATACACTTGCACTATTCAGTTCCCCCACTCCATGCAGTGGCAAATTCCTCACATTTTCACTACTCTAGAATAATGAAGCTTCTCGTGAATTCCTTATTGGATTCCTTCTGGCTAGTGTGACTTCAGGTGAAGAATAACTTCCTGAACGCCCTTTGTTTCCTCTCCTTCTTCCTCTCCCTTCTAGAAACTTGCTCTGTTCTGTGAGATCTCTATTCATTCTCACATAATGCCAAGGGACCGGCCTACTATTATCAATGTCTGGCAGCAATTGGTTTATTCAGAAACCTTGAAATCAGCAAAAATCCTTTAAGTACATTCTCCCACATTTGTTGTAGATCCTTGTTACTTTAAACTGCTATAGAAAGCATTAAACAAATAAGCAACAGCCTGAAGACATGAACCAGCCAATAACTAGGGAGTAATTATTGATTCCTTTAAAGAGGATGGGGGAGACCTTATAAAGGTTTATAAAATCATGAGGGCCATAGATAAGGTGAATAGCAAGGGTCTTTTCACTAGAGTTGGTGGGGGGAATTCAAAGCTGGGGGCATGTCTTTAAAGTGAGAGGAGAAAGATTTAAACAGGACCTGAGGGCCAACTTTTTGACACAGAGGGTGGCTCGTGTGTGGAATGAACTGCCACAGGAAATGGTAGATGCAAGTAAGTTACAGCATTTAAAAGACATTTGGATAGGCACATGAATAGGAAAAGTTTGGAGGAATATGGGATAAACGCAGACAAATGGGATTAGTTCAATTTGGAAATCTTGGTCAGCATGGACAAGTTGGACTGAAGGGTCTGTTTCCATGTTGTATGACTCTATTGATTCTATAACTCCCATATTTATAAACTGCTCCATTTGCATTCCGTCTGCTAATGATCAACAATATGAATGAAAATGATGCTATGCTTGAGAGAAAGAAAGGACTTTAAAAGTTGTATTAATGCAAAAAAGACTTTGAATTAATTTATTGGAATTATTGTCAATTGATAAATCTTAATCCACAGTAGCGTCAGGGTGGCTGCCAAGGGTAATGGATTACAATCAGATCTTTTAAAAATCTCTCAGAAAAGAAAGAGAAGAAGCATTTAAATAAATGTATTACATTTCGCAACCAGAAATATTTACCCTGAATCAATTTAAGATGAGACAACACAGAGGGAAAATGAAAATTTATTACAATATGGATCATTTTTCTAGTTAGAGTAGTGTTTTATTGTTAAAATGTAGCTCCTCATGACACTTTGTTTGTTTTATTACTGTAATTTTAGAATTTCAATATAACGCTGTGTGGCCTGGAAATTTGAAAAGTTGCCAGCCCATAAAAGCACTTGTTTCCCCGAGTTTGACATGCTTGTCCAAATTGCATTTTTCAATGCCCCAACTTCACAGCAACAAGTTTATTATGATTTGGCAACTGAAAATGCATGGAGCAGAAAACAGTTGCATTCAGTTTCAGAGATAACAAGGTGTAGAGCTGGATGAACACAGCAGGCCAAGCAGCATCAGAGGGGTAGGAAGCCTGATGTTTTGGTCTAGGCCCGAAACGTCAGCCTTCCTGCTCCTCTGATGTGCTTGGCCTGCTGTGTTCATCCAGCTGTACACCTTGTTATCTCAGATCCTCCAGCATCTGCAGTTCCTACTATCTCTGCATTCAGTTTCAGTCATGGTGCAAATGTCCCAGTGCAGGGGAAAGCAATTACCACCAAGTTTGTTGCATAAAACGTCTGAAAGGGTTAATGCTGAACCTTGCATTAAGCGCTGCCCAATGATCATGTTGGGTTGGGTGAGGGATAGTCGGGGCAGACCAGCTCTGGATCAGATTTTACCTCAAGTGCTCCTTCATTTTTAATAACACAGGGCTGAATCTCAACCCAAAGGAAGTCAATCAGAGTGACAGCAGCTTTTTTTGGAGGATTTATTGCCTTGCCCAAGTTCTCCTGATGTATTTTACCAAACTCACGTCATTAAGTACCTACCACATTGCTTAGCTTCCTTCCCGTCTGATTTCGTCTCATTTTACCATGTGCCGTACCCAGAACAACTCCCCACTCATTGTATACTTGCCAAAAGAAAGAAAGACCTGCATTTCTTGTTCCTGCATCATCTGTAAAAGCCCATCACACACCCAGACAGGCAGTGTCAGTACTGAGCTGCTCTGCAAATTTCCTGTCTTTTACCCTAGATATGGCAGGCAGGGGGAATGCCAGTGGCCCAGTTTGTGGCCAGGTTCCTGTAGAAAACTGCTTG